CAGGGAGCCGAACGCGATTAAGCTATAGAGCTAGAAGCCGACACTGGCCTTGGCAGCCTGTAGAGCTACAGCTACGAGCCCCATAGGTTAGCATAACCAACTCTATGACCACGCACCCACTGAAGGCAGGCGATATCGAAGCTTCCGACAACGCTGGATGTAAATGTCCAGGGGCTGGGCAACGTCGGAGTACCTCCTGGAGAAGCGGGCCCATGCAGGCCCAACCCGCGATGCCTGGCAGGCCTCGAAGGCCTGGCCAATATGAGCGTTGACAACCGCCACGGACTCCATGGGGCACCGGCACCTGGCTGAAACGCTAGAAGCCAGACTCCGCAGCCCATTCTTCAAAAATTGCACGGCGTCTTTCGCATCAACCATTTCGCGCGTGCATGCATGTGGATATGCCGACGACTGTAGCCATTCCTTTAGCTATTGTTCTCCAAGCTACAGGAAACGGCATCGCCGACACATTCGTGGGCCTCCGCAGACATGAGCGACTTTCCTTCTGACACTTCTTGCTTTCGTCTGCGCGGCACTTCGGCTTCGCGAAAGCAGGAAGCTCGGGCGGCGCAAGTGGCTCCGCTCCTCCCCGCGCGTTGCTGCGAAGCCAGACGGGCAAGGCCGCGCGCGCTCGACCGAACGCCAGAGGCAACGCTTGCGACGCGGGGAAATCCGATCTGATCCCCCGATTCGGGCGCGCGGCGATATCGCACGCCAAGTTTGCGCGCAATCGTTGTGAGTCCACGGGCCAGACCTTTGAAGCGTCGCGATCGTCGGGCAAAAGTGTTGCGCTCGGCGATCCATTGCTCAATATTTCCTGACAGCACTGCTCCTGAACTTGCCATGCTGGGAGGCATTCTGCAAGAGAGAATGCCATGAGCTCGTCGAACAGATGCGAAAGTAGAGCGCGACGGACATGTGGATGAAGCCGCTGTTGCTGAACCGACTTGGACCAACTGGTGCGAATTGCCGATCGAATGGATTTCGGAGTCGGCCAAGCTGTCAGTCTTTAAGGGTCAACGTGCGCTTGCAATGGCCCCGTCTTCCAGACTTTCCAGGAACTGCAGGCGGTGCAGATTGAAATCATCCAGCGCCGAAATCACGAAGAGGACGGTTGGAGTCCAGATTATCGAGCCAAGTCGAGGAGTTGCCATAGACCATTGGCACATGTTGATGCAGCCACCTGCTAGCTGAGTACACTTGCGCCGACTGCAAAGCATCCCGGACCAGACGCCGCATCGAGGAACGCGTGCTTTGAGCTGTCGAGGGGGGGCCAAAGACGAACTATGATAGGTGGAATCCTTCCAAGAAAGCGGCGCGGCTCCGAGCATGGCTGACTTGAGGCCGCTTGCAATGCGGTGCAAGATGGTCCCATCATCGTCGCGCGACTAGGAAGGGGAACAATCGAGTGGCGGACGTGAGCTTGCACGGTAGGAGCACAGCGAAATATCCACAGCGGACCGATGGAGCCAAATCTCACAATGCAGGTCGTCTGAGGCCACGGATGCAGCGCAGCTTATGACCCCATCACTTGAAGTGATGGGTGAAGGAACTTTCGGCGTGAGACGTTTTGAGAGATTGCAGAAACAACTTGAGATGCCTACAATGAATGCAGTCGCTGTGCAAGATGTCGCGGTAGCAAGGTTGATAGCGGCGTCGAGCGCGCTCATGCTGCGATCGTTGCCCAGCCCGCTGCTCAGCTAGCCACTCAATTTGGCATGCGCGATTACAGAGAGGATTCGCGGACTTGGTAATGGTCGCCTCCACAGCGAACGCTCGAGCTTCCGACTCCACTGCGCTGACCGGGACAAACAAGAAAGAGCTGGTGCTTTCTTTGAGGGCGCCGTGCCTGAAACGACGGCCGTCCCTGGACCGCGGCGATAGGAGGCCCGTCAAGTGCTCCAATGCTCGAGCTGCTAGGCCGTGCCGCGCGCCAGATGATCTCGCGAGGTTGGCCTTGCCGACATAGCACCCCGCGCGGGAACCAATGCGATGGGCGGCGGCTTCCGAATTGTCGACGGTCAGCATCCGTTGCGAGATCCGCGACCATGCTATGATGGACGCGAGACAATATCATCCTAGTACCCCGAGGGGAACGCGCACCACGGTTGCCGAAACCACCGCGGAAGGCGAGCAGCATTGCGCGCACGCCGAAGTCGACATAGTCCAGATGCAGTCAAGATCAGGCATGCGGTGATTTCTTTGGCTTCTGCACGCGCGCCGCCCCTCGATTGAGCGGCGGGGGCGGCGCGTAAACATGCGCCGCCAACGCGGTCACCAGGTTCACAATATCATCTGCTTGATCTCACACGTCGCACGGTATTAAGGGGTTTTCAAACACCAAGCGCATTTGCTAAGGTTCGGGCGGTGAAGAACGAAGTGTTCGGGAGGTGGCCGTCGGTGATGAATGGACCGCTCCCTGATTTTCGATATGTGTATACCGCCACAGTACCGAGGAACCTGTGATAGTTTCTGGACGCTTTTCCCACCGCGACGTTTTTCAGTTTGCAGTGCTTTGCATGGCTCACGCGAGACCGAACATTACGCGGTTGAGCGTCTGTGCCCGCGCAGGCCAGTGGGCCCCCAAAGAAACACTAGAGATGATGATGCTGGTGATGATAATGGTGATGGTAATGACGATGATGATGGTTATGATGGTGGTGGTGATGGTGATGATGCAGATGGTAATGTTGATGTCGTTGATGATGACGGTGGTGATGATGATGGGGATGTTGATCATGATTATGATAATGATGATGATAATGATGATAGTGGTAATGATGAGCCTGGTGATGGTGGTGATGATGGTGGTGTTGTTGATGATGATGATGATGAGCATGGTTACGATGATGTAGGTGGTGGTGGTGGTGGTGGTGACAATGGTGTTGGTTATGGTGTCCGGTAGGAGGAAGAGCAGGAGCACGAGGAGGAGGAGGAGAAGGAGGAGGAGGAGGGGCAAGAGCAGGAGCAGGAGCAGGACTTGGATGACGAGGAGGACGACGCGGAGGAGGCGTATGCTGTGACCCCCTCGTGCTCCTGAGGGCCTCCACCTGCCGCCGCTCCGTGCCCTCTGCAGGGGGGGGATCCTCCCCGCTCACTTCCCGTGCCCGCTCGGCCCCGCGCTGGTGCCGCCGCGCTCGCACCGAGAGAGCGCCAGCGTTGGACCCTCCCTCTGGCTGTGATCCGATCGATGTGTTTCGGCATCGATCGGTGCGTCGGCCCGATCCGATTCGGTTCCGACACTCCGGCGCGGCCCGATGCCTGCACCGCGCTGCCGGGTGTCCTGGCGCGGCTGCTTCCGTTCGATTCCCACTCCGTGCCGATGCGGTGCGAGTCGACCCTTCGAGTCGATGCTGGCCACTCCTGCCTTCTCTCCCTTCACGGGTGTCTGCTTTTATCCCGCCCCCGTCCCGCTCGCTTTGCGCGCCCCGCGCCCAGCGCGCCCCGCCGGTCCCGACCCTCGCGCCCGTGTCCGCTGGCGCTGCCGGGGAAACAAGGGCGTAAGTGTTTAGAGCGGTGGCGTTACCGCATCGGGCCAAGGGGTATGGGGGTTACGGTTAGGGTGTTGGGGTCATGGTGTACAAGTGAACAACACCGCGCACGATATTCCAGGGCAATTTTACGTCGGCCCTTGTTCGAAGATGCATAGGGGAGCGGATGGACAGGGGGGAGATCAATGGGGAGTTGGTGGAGGTGTTCGCGCGCACTACGCCTGCCAACAAATGTATGCACAATCTCTCGGTGAAGCCTTTTTCGGCAATTGCCGTACGGGTCCCTCGGTGAAGGCCTTGACCTGGGAAGGGATTGGGGTAGATGCGTTGGTAGTGGATGGGGTTACCTTACGTGTGCCTATTCCGTCAGGGCATCCTGGCTAAGCTCCCTTGTGAGCCTTGCTTCGTATCTTTTCTCACTTTCTGGCACTCGGTCACACCTTTTTGGCTTGCACTTGATCATGGCTGGGATTTGTCTCACTTGCCCATAAGGTTCATGTTGCACGACGATGCGAGCTTCGCTGAAAGCGTGCCCAACGTCAAACAAGGAGGACGAGGAGGGGGAGGGGGAGGGGGAGGAGGAGGAGGAGGAGCAGGAGGAGCAGGAGAAGGAGGAGAAGCAGAAGGAGCATGAGGAGCAGGAGGAGCAGAAAGAGCAGACAGAGGAGGAGGAGTCGGAGGAGGTGGAGGAGGGAGGAGGAAGGAGGGAGGAGGGAGGTGGGAGGAGGGAAGAGGGAGGAGGGAGGAGGGACGAGGGACGAGGAGGAGGGAGGAGGAGGAGGAGCAGGAGGAGGAGGAGGAGCATGAGGAACATGAGGAACAGGAGGAGGAGGAGGAGGCGGAGGAGGCGGAGGAGGCGGAGGAGGGAGGAGGGAGGAGGGAGGAGGAGGATCCTGCTCATTCTGCGCCTTGCGCTGCTCCTCCTTCGCTTTCTCTTCCTGCTTGCAGCCTTCTGCCTCCCTTCCCTCGTCCTCCTCATGACCCCTCCCGCCTCTTTCTTCTCCTTTCCCTCCTTCCCTTCCTTCTCTTCCTGCTGCGTTTCCTGTTCCTCTTTCTCTTCTGCCTTCGTCATCGTCGTCGTCGTCCTTTTTCTTCTCCTCCTCCGCCGCCTCCTCCTGCTCCTCCTCCATCTGCTACGCTTCACGACTTGTCCTATGCTACTCTGAGGGCCTTCACATTTTCCTCGTCTTACTCCTCGTCACCCTTCCCTCTCACTTTTCCTCCTCCTCCTCTTCCTCCTCCTCCACCTCCACTTGTTCGCTTCGTCCTCCGTGCTCCCGCTCCTGTTCTTGTTACCTCCTCCTCCTCCTCCTCAAACTCCTTCTCCCTCCTCCCTCCTCGCCCTTCTCCCTCTGCTTCCCATCCTTCCTCCTACCCCTCCGTCTCCTCTTGCTCCTCCTGCTCTTTCCTCGTCCCTCGTCGTCCCCAGCCTTCCTGCTCCTCCGCCTCCTCCCTTCCTTGCCGTAGCCCGAAGACACCCGTGCGCGCCGATCTTGCCACCGCGCCGAGGTAGTGACCGTGGTGGACTCCTCCACCTTCTGCCAGAACTACATGGACTACCAGGCCAGCGAGGGGGGTCATCGAAGATCGCTGGGGCGAGCGTAAGGGGGTAGCGCCAACGGGGGTCAGCCGATCCCATCAGATCGTGCTGGCTGACATGGGCTTTGGAGTCGCGTGGAGCCGACCCCCACTCCACCTCAGCTGACCATGGCTTGAGAGTTACTAGCGGCAAGCGGGGATTAGCGACGTGGCCTAGGCTGCGCGTCCCCTGGATCGAGTCTCGAGGACAGATGTGTATGTAATTGGTGGTGCTTTTAAGCCCCCTTGGAGGTGGTTCTAGCGCCCTCGAGGCCACGGCTGAATCGGCTTCAAAAGTGTGGCCAGATCGCATCCAACGACGGGCCCTGGAATTGATTTCTGAGGAGCAGGGGGACCCTTCGATCTTGGTAGCGTGACTCTTCAGCATTCAATATCGTTAGGCGAGAAGATGATCCGTATCGTGCAGGTGCGCTTTTAGCGGTGCCACGTTATCGATGTAAGCATTGACCTTCTGTGTATCGGTTGTCCTACGGTAGGTTTTCCCAGTGAAGGCTGCCGTCAGGTAGGTACTTGCGAAACGCTGAAGGTTGTTATTTTGTGGGGTGCCCTGGCAAGTGTTGGCTTGGCATCTTATTCTTTGAAGAATTATCGCGCCACGACGGTTGGTCCCAGCACATGTCTCAAGGCCGGCTCATTGGTATCATGACCGGCTCTTCTGGCATGTGGTGATCATTGTAAGTAGCCTGGGGAAGTTGTGAGACTTTGATTTGGCTTATGCGTTGTAGGTATGTCGGCTACGCTTTTCGTGGGAATAGTTGTTCCGCGTGTTGTTGCAGTTGTGTCGTCATGTCCTGTGGTCGATGAGGATGTCAGTTTGGCCGAATATTATTGTTGTTGCGCGGAGGCAGTCTTCTTCGCTGGGTATTACGTTTGATGCCACGGGTCTGCGCGTGGGAGCCTGGGTGTTGATTGCCGTCCTGATGCTCGTCTGTGCGTTCCTGCTAGCGAGGCAAGCGTGAATCGTTGTGCATCGGCTGTGAGTCGCAGCTGGGTTGATGGCGACTCATCGTCGTCTGAGAAGCTTTCTTCCATGGCTGTCAGGTGCATAGCAGTGAAGCGGCGTCTGCAGGTTCTCAGGTTCTGGACCCGTAGTGTCGCCTGCATCATTTCCGAGACTCGGAGATGGATTGTACTCTTGCCGCGCCTCCTCGTCCTCTTCCTCCTCCTGTACTGTACTGTACTCAATGGAAGCGGCCGTCGAGTGCCAGCCGCCCCAAACACAAAACACACTCACCCAGTAACGTGTGACTGCGGAGCGGGTGTCACCAGGCCATACCTAGAGAGGAGCCGGGCAGGGCTCCACCTTTCCTCCCACAGGCCTGGATCAGCAGCGGCATGATCATTGTCATCAGCTCGCCTGACCTGGATCCCTCTGTGCGCAGCCCTGAGGAGGGCCAGCAGGTCCAGGGGGGACGGGGAACCATGCCCAGAAACAGTCCACCCTGCATACTGCTTCGCCCACGAGGGAAACTCGCCACGCAGAAACCTCGACCTTTGTCGTTTGAGGTCCTTCGTCCTCGGCTGGCCGACACACTTGCCAGCACGGGACATGACCCCAGAACTGTGAATAGAACCCGTGTAATACCCTCATAAATACTCTTTATCCTTACCTTTCCTGCGCCTGGCCGTTTGGGCTCAGGTATTGAGATAGATCGATCAGACCTTTGATCGTGCAGGAGGGAAAGACATCCATCTATCCCTCCTTCTCTCTACCAACGGATCAGGGGTTCTGCACCCTTGTACTTCAACCCCATACACAGGTTATCAGCCCTTTGAGGCTCACCCACATCGACCCGCCCGTGGTGACCTCGCCCGCGGTCTCGATGGAGCCCCTGCGGCGCATGCGCCGCAAGGGATCCATCGGGGCCTCGCGTCCCGGCTCCCCCACGGCGCGACGGCTCGGTGACGAGTTGGAGAGCCTTACTGCGGACTGTGTTGGTGTTCCTGATACCCCCCCCAGCTCCGACGGACCCAAGGCGCGACTAGCTGCTGAGCTTCACCGCAGCGCCGCCCGCGGGGGGACAGGAGAAGGAGTAGGAACAGGAAGGAAGGAGTTTCACACGCCTACCTTCGATCCTCCATCCCCTTCCCCGTCGGGAGCAATCCCAACCGCGTCAGGCGAAAGCCTCACCGGTCACGATACTCCAGGGCGCTTTCGCGCTAACCGCCGATGGACCTCAGGTGCTGGTACCCCCAGCCCTGCGACCGTCCCTGTGGCGGAGCACGTAGCCACCTTCGAGGAACTCAGTAGACCAGTGTCGGCACAGCCGCAGACGCGGTGCCCCAAGGTATCATCGGATGAGACACCACACGCACATGGTCCGAGTCGCAGCTCGTCCGCGCGCAACCGCCGTGGAGCCCCAGGCCCGTACGGCGAGAGTAGGTCGAGCCCGCGCACTGCCTCTCAGAGGCCATGCACTCCCCGCGACAGGGGACACAGGGAAGCTGACGCTCCCCACCTCTCCATCTCAGACGACCAGCTGGCGGAAACGTCCGCCGCAGGTGACATTGCTGAGCTCAGAGACCAGGTTGAAACCTTCGTGTCCAGGCAATACTCTGGACTACTGCAGAGCGTTCAGACGAACGCCGCCGATACTGCAGCCATACGCCGCGATCTTGACGGCGCCTTAGGGATCATTGATTCCAGGATCGCTGAAGATCGACGCATCATAGGAGAACTGCAGTACCAGGTTGATCGTGAGGTGTCACACTCAGGTGAACGAACGGCGATGGTCGTGAACCTGCGCAACTACCTCGCGCAGATGGAGCAACAGCTTGTGCTCGTACGCGACACAGGCGTTTCAGCAGTCAGGATTTTACAAGAAGAAATCCACGACCAGCTCCGCAACCGACCAACACCAGCCGAGGCCACTGACCTTGGCGACGTTCAGTCCCAGATCAATGATCTTCGATCTTATCTAGACCACACTGCGGCGACGCTTCGCAACGAAGCACACGCCAACTCGTCGAACCTGATCGATATGTTGCAGCGTACTGAAAGAGTCATCACTCACAGGCTTGATGCGACCAACGCCGTCGCGCATCCACTCGCTAACCGGATCTCTGACATCGTGCAGCGTTTTCCTGGTGTACAGGACGCCCTGGCAGAGTTGCGTGTCGGACGAGCCCAGACTGATCAGCTGGATTCTCCTCCCACGGTTTACGATTTCGCCCGCCTCACTGACAGGTTGCAGGAGGTTCAGAAGGCGGCGGACCACACGCAGATGGAGCTCTCCCAGGTTATTTATGAAAGAGATACTGAGAAGGCACGTGTAGAGAATCACCTCGCACGTCTGGAAAGCGAGCTGGAGGCGCAAAGCGCCCGTCTCCGAGCATACGAGCAACGACTTGATCGGTATTCACAACGTTCTCGGGATACTGATGAGTATACACGCCAAAAGGTGGGTCAAATACACGAGGATATGAAGAGCTGGACGAATCAGCTGATCGACCACACCAACGACACCAATCTCCACCTTCGACCTGCAGCCGACCTGCACAGGCCGACGGCAGCGTCCGCCGAAGCACCACAAGCTTCCGCAGGACAACAACGACGTACGTCACCAGGAGCAGCCTCCGCGGCAGCTTCTGCACAGACACGCCATGTGTCTCCTGTGCGCACAGAACCAACTACTGACGGTGCGCCGATGCCCTCACAACCATTGTCTGCGGTGTCGGTCCATACTACAACTCCTATCAAGGAGTCAGACACCGTCCGAGTCCCTGTCTTGCCTAAGATCACGCAGCTGCTCGAGTGGCAGCAAAAAATACGGGAGAACTTTGGGGCCGCCTCAGGGCGACCATCCAAAGCATACGCCTTCCTATGCATGGCTGAACAACCCGAATGTACATTCGAGGACTTACAAGACAGTGGAGACTTTGAGAGCATCGATTGCAAACTCGCTACCGCTCTGAGCGACATCTTATCCTCGGACTTACGCTACCAAATCAGGCTCATCGAAACTAGAGAGCACACAGCAGGACGCATGCTCAAAGGACGCCAGATCTACTGGCACATCCTACAGTCCTACAAAGTGACAGCGGTTGACGACGACCTGCACGATTTCGAGCGCCTTAAAGAATTGAGGATGAGGGATGACGATTTGCAACGTTTTATTACTGACTGGGGCGCTTTACTCTTGGAATGCCGAGAAGCACCCGATCCAAAGATCTTGGAATCGCTATTTCGTATACAGATTCGTAGACATATATGGATGAAACAAGACATGTACGAGTACCAGCGCATGAAGATGAGCGACCCGAATCGTACCTATGGTTGGCTTCGACAGCGTGTCCTAGACATACTGGAGATTTAACAATTGGAGAAGAATCAAAACAAGTTACGGTACGAACATGAGACACGATCTCAAGTCAACGCGTGCGCCGCCTGGAAGAAAGGCAATTGTCGCAATGGTGAGCGGTGCAAGGCTTTGCATACATATTCCAGGGATTGGAAGAACAACAAATCTTCCAGAACATCAACGGCTGGTGGCAACCCCCGCCGTAGTATGTCCACTCCTGCGAATCACAAGAAGCCAGCGTCGAAACCATTTTGCTTCGATAACGCCAAGCGCAACACATGTACCAGAGGTGATAAGTGTAACTTTCCACACGTCGCACAGTGTAAAGATTTCGCACAGAACAAGTGCACAAAAGGCGACAAATGCAAATACGCTCATCTTGCACCTGGTGCAAAGACTCCTGAGCGAAGCCTGAGTCGACCGCGGACCTCCAGCCAGGATCGCCGCGGCCGATCACCATCCCGCGCATCAGGCAGCCAACGGTCTTCACAACGCGGGGGGTTTCGGTATGCAAGCGACTCGCGACGTGGGCGTGACAACCGACGCCAATACGACCGATCTCGTTCAACATCTAGGAGGTCCCCAGACTCTCGCAGTCAATCGAGAAGTCGATACGACAGATCTTCGAGATCGACCTCCCGAGGGCGAGACAATCGTGGCGGC